AAAGAAACACGGGAAGGTGATTTTCACAGGATTCAAACTTATCCCAATGTTGTAACCCCGACATGAAATTTGTAGAATAGTTAATCTAGCGTTTTGGATGAGGTGGCATTAATTATGTGAATTACATCTAGTTTTGTTTCTCTTTTTCATCAGACTTGAGTGTAGCAGTTAGGTTCTTGCATACCTGTCTGGATCTAGATGAAGTTGAGAAACTCAACTCAGATAAACTGAAGTCACTGATCTAGTTGTTTCTCCTGGGGTGGTGCTTTATCTGAAATTCAAGGTTCATACTTGGGCGTTACCTTAGAATCTAGAGCCAAGCTTGTTCGTGGATATTTAGGCAGTAACTGTAACCAGGAAAAGGTTTTACTAGCTTCAACAGGGTGCCACTCAAGGTCCCTGGATAATAAGGACCTTGCTGCTGTTTTGTATTCCTCAATAACTTTACAAGTGGTTTATGTAATTTGCAGCACATGGGGCTGCTCTTTTTATGATTATCCCATCCTCCAGCTGTACTATGCTTTCAGCAATCCTGTGAGTAGGTTAGGTTGAAAGTGAATGATCCAAGGTTTTAGAAACTTCAACTAGACTAGAATAAATTAGCCACAGTCTTGTAAGAATTTCACTCACTTCTAATTAAGTTTCTAGACCAAATTCAATATGTAGCTTTCATTTTGAATATGCCTCATATTCATATGCTGTTTTTATCTCTAAGTAGAGTCCAGAATATTTGAACAACTATTTTTCTATATGAGATTCGCCAGCCTCCAAATTATATCTAGAGATGAGATTTTAGTCTTTATTCTTCCACAAGCAAGTTGTCAGTAATTTGATTTCATTACATATAATCTTAGGTTCTTACATTTTGGGAACAACAATAAGGGACATAGGCTGTGTTTGCATGCTCAGGGAAGGAAAAGAAGACATGGTGGCTTCTTTATGCTCTCTTGCACTTGCCAGTTGTATGCCATCTCATTCCCCTACTTACCCATGCCATGTGCAGGGAGCTGTGTCATCTGAACATAGGAAGATGAGCAATAGGGGTGGTATCCAGATCATCCTGCAACCCCTGGCTTGTTCTAGGCTTCCAGGTTGGTTTCAAAACCACCCTCAGTAGGTTTGAAATAAAGAGAAGAGAAGCCACAAGCTTCTTTGGTTTGTGCAAACACAGGCAAAAGTTTGAACATGCCACTGTACACAATCTATCGCAACAGTTAGGACAGGTGAGTTAAGATTGCAGCATTCCCATTGGTTGGCTTTTTATAAGCTTTGTACAGATGTATATATGCCACAATATTTGTCAGGCTGTGTCCAAGCTCATTTAATTCCACCCAGTTGAAGTTCACTGATTCTTATGTTGTGTAACATAGAACTCTGTGTAACAGTGTAGCTCATGAGCTCACATATGAACAGACTGTGGTAAGGACCCAATACAGCTACAATTCTAAGCACACTTACTACAAAACATTGACTACTAGATAAGCATACTAAGGGTTGTGCCACATATAATTTTCAGGGCTGGGCTCCTCTGAAGTATACTATTACTATTATAGAACTGCCTGTCCTCTGAAGTTAATGTTATTTACTTCCAAGTAACTACAGTTAAGATTTTAACCCAAGTAATGCGAATGAATCATCCTCATCTCATTTACAATGATGTGGAATTATTTTGCTTCACAAGAAGGCGACTGGAATTCTTGTATTTAAAATGGTTTGCAGGATTGTGTTGAACTTTAACAGCTAAGCAACAATCTCTTTTAGTCTTTTAGCAGCCACATGATTGTAGCGAAGCAGATGCAGCTGTGCCTCCCTAAATTGCTGGATTATGCCTTGATCTACTTTGTGTTACTAGACAATTCCTATTCACAAAAGCCTAGTGGCTGTGTTAATAAAGAAGTGCATCTTAAACCTTTCAGGATGGATCTAGAACAATTTTGAATCCCTGTTTGACAGAAACTCTTTTATAATTGTTCTTTTTTTAGTGCAAATGCAATGCCGTTAATAGTCTATCTTCAGTTCTTTTTCTTGTATGTAGATATATGCATACTACACAATATAATTTTTGTACAATCATTGAATCCTATATTATACTATGAACCTCACACAATTTATTGCTTGGGAAATTCATTTTATAACAATGAATGTGCAAAAGTGTGAGTTATAACTTAATCCAGGCCTCTTGAAATATATTTTAATATGCAGAAATTAAGAAATATGGTGCAGCTTTATGCAATTTTATGATGTATGCAGTTGAGCTCTTTTATAGAATAGGAGGTGATTGGCTTCTTGGTCCTGACATTTTATCTCAGAATACTATATCCCAAATTGTATTGCAGGGAACCCTGCTGTTCTGTGAGAAAATTGTAATGCTAGCTAGAAGCAGTAAGGGGGTGGGCAAAATCCACAGTGTGGAAAAGAAAAAAGGCATAATCCAGGAATGGAGGGCATGAGTGATTTGCTAATGAGGATCACCTTGTTAGCAAAAGAAACAAAAACATCAAACATACATTTCCCATAATATAATTGACTGAGTTGTAAAATTATTTCTATTTTCCCACAGTTTTCAGTAATAGGAACAAATTTATAAAAACATAATTTATGTTGCTTTCTGTTTATTTTTCATACAATATATTTAAGTTTTAATGAAGGACATTCCTTTTTAATTTTTAAAATAAAATTGTGCCCCCTACTTTGTAAGTCTGTGTGCATACAGAAAGTAGAGTGTTGAACCCTATCTACTGTTCTTCCCAAAGATCTCATTATGAGGCCTTCTGAGTCTCAGCCCAGGAACAGGCACTCTGTGGAAACAGGCAAGCCTCCACTCCTCACATTGTGCCCCTAACTGGGCAAGCCACCAGGTTCGCCTCCCCAAGGAGCAGGGTCTCTCCATTGGAGAAACTTCCATGTCAACATCTCCTCCCATGGGCTGTAACTCCTCAATGTTCCCAGGGTTGGTCTGTCTCCCTTTCTGCCCTTGGACTAATTATGGCCACCTTCTTTGGACCTCAAGACCTTGAGCCAGAGCTGGAGGCTCCACAATTTCAGAAACAGTCTTGACCTTGAAATCAGAATCTGAATCATGGGAGCACATGGAGTTTCCCATGAGCGTGAGATTTTGCATGCATGACACCATCCTTCTTTTAACATAGATGCTTTATGGGGCATTTTGTGCTTTATTTTATATTTAAGTATTCTTAAAGGACAGTTGTTTGTTCTTTCATCCCATCCTCTTTACTGTTTGATCTTTGTGAAATATACAACATCCAAAAGCCCCAGTTATTAAAAGAAAGCTCATTTTTTAACTAGACATAATTTGAACACTTCCTCATGGGAGAAAAACAGGCTAATTTGGTCCAGTTTTTTCCATAATCACCCTTTTTAAGTCCAGGGATAGTCTAGATCCTCCTTTGGTCCATCAAGACCAAAAGTATCCCATAAGTTTGGAAATACTGTTGTATGGTACTATTCTGGATAGGTTAACTTGATTGAGATTTGGCATCTTTTTATACTGGTCCATTTTTGCTTTGACTCCAAATGAGCTGGAAAGCTAGTATGATGAAAGGGGGGGGGGACTTCCCCCATTCACATTTTTCAACCTTTTTATCATTTTATATTCCCTCTATTCTCGCTTGCATTTTTATAAGATAAAAAGCCGCACATCTTATAGTCCTTTGATAATTCCATTTGCTCTTTCCTGCACTGTTCTCCAGCTATATAATATGTTTTGAGATGTGATCATCAGAACTATACACAGTATTGAAAGTGTGGTTGCAGCATCGATTTTTTTAAAGGTATTAATTAAATACCAGTTTTTAATACAAGTTCCTTTCCTGTTGATCCACAGTGTAGATTTTGCCTTTTTCACCATAGCCCATGCTAGATTGGCATATTCACTGACCCTCTTCACCACTTCTGAAGATCGCTTTCCTGATTAGTAGCTCTAATTTAGACTCCGTCAGCATATCAATTCTTTGCAGTCATAGTCTGATACACTGTCAGCTGTTACTCCACTAGTTTCCTGTAATAGGAGAGTCCATATTGCACAAATGTTAAGTAACTCAAATTGACTGCTTTTGAACAATAAAAATGTTTCTGTAGTAATGGCCATAGTAATTTTACACTGCAGAACAGAATGGACATGATGTATCCAAAGTTATAATAGAAAGATCTGTATTTTAGTGGTAAAGTACGTATATGCTTAATTGGAAGGTTTGCAGAGTGCACCAAAGGTCACTGTAGCTCAAGCACTGTGTGGGTAGATCACCTGGGGCCAAGAGAAGCCAAACACATGATTGGGCACATCATGGGTATATATTTCCTTCCCCCAGCCATGGTCCTCTGATAGGAGTCCCAGAGTATCCCTGCATGACCTCCAAGGTTTTCCTCCTTCCCTGCCACAGTTGCTAGCCATTTTTGACCTGCTGCAGCTATTTTGTTTCTTCGTTTGTTTTCAGAAAGACTTCTGGTTCTTGTGCTGGTTTATTAGCCAAAAAGTAAGCCATCTGACAGCAGCAGTCTGGGTTCACGCAACATACTAACCCACTGTGGCTTAAAAGCAAGCTGGGTTGTGTTGTGCAGACCCATTCACTATAACCCTGACAGTGCTGAACTTTGGCTGAATCCTACCCAACACGTTTTGAAATATGCAAGATTATTGTAACTTGATTCTAATTGTGGCCACTCAGAAATACCATTGTGTTCAATTTTTCTGCCAAGTAAGTGTACTTAAGACTGCAGCTCCAATTTTATTTAAAGCAAGCAGTTCCGTCCATGTTTAAGTAAAAACACTTCTTCATCTTGAGCCTTTTCTGCCATCAAATGCCTATGTACTTTTGTTGTCTGCATGTATGTATTCAAGGCAGACTTTTGTAAAACATTTACATATTGACTTTTACGTATTTATACCTGAATACTTTTAGGTATAGTCTGTTTCCACTGGATAAGTAAGTATCAGATGATTGAAAATGACTGTTTTAATTTCTTCATTGCTTTCCCTTTAGAATCTAAGATGTCCACTGAAGGGCAAAGAGTTGATGATAGTCCAAGCACTAGTGGAGGCAGCTCGGATGGAGACCAGCGAGAAGGTGTTCAGCAAGATCAGGAAAGAGAACAGGTTCAGCCCAAGAAAAAGGAGGGCAAAATCTCTAGCAAAACAGCTGCTAAACTTTCAACTAGCGCTAAAAGGTACTTGTTCTCTCTGTTCATTTTAAGTATATTTCCTTTATTAAATGCTATTAGCAGTCATCTAGTCAGCTTTCAGAGTATACTACACATTTCAGGACTGCACAGTGTTATATGTATTTATCAGCTTGCCTTATCATGATTATAGTAGTAACTAGTGGGTTGAATAACTGGTTCTACATCCATGTGGCTATAATAACAGTTGGTAGGACAAATATGTGGACATTCCTTATTGCACTTCAAACTGAGGCAATTCTGTAGCTTTAATAAATCTCTGTGTTGTGTAAGTGCGAGTGACTGATGTTCAGTCTTGTCAGTGTAACTTACAGTTGATTAGCCATAAACTTTTCAGGCACTTCAGTAATTCAGTATGATAGAAGACTACAGTAATACCTACTGCTGTAAAATATGGTGTTTTTGTTTCCCCAGTTGGTTAAGTAAATTGTCAGATTGACTGAAAATGCATTTTCATTTCATAGTGTTAAACAGCAGACTTCCTTAGTAGTTTTGGCTTTCTCACCCCCAGGAGAGAAGGTAGATTTGGAGAACAGCTACTTAAGAGATCTTAGGCTGTTGCATCAGTCACTTCAAGATAATGACTGGTGTGCTTAGCCTTTGCACAGATGGAGCCTGCGTTAATAGTTTCCCCCCAAGCACATAGCAATATAACCCTGAACAGAAACATTCATATTCTTATTTCTAGTGCACTAAAACTGATCATGGCTTAAAAGAAAAACACTTCCAGAGTATAGACATTGCATATGTAAAATTCAGGACAATGCTCTCTTCACCATCTTACCTCATTCTACATCAGAAAACCTGTAATGAGTTAAAAATATGGAAGCCCCACTGATAGAATTAATTGTAAATTGTACCAGCTACATAGTGACAGCACTCCTTGCCTCTTTACGTCTTGTGTTATTGCACTGTCGTTTTTCATGCTGGCAACACCAGTTTTGACTCATCATAGTTACATTCCACTCTGTTCCGTCTGGCTACTCCAACAAGCACGTGAAGCTATGGATGAATGGAAACTATTCAGTTTTCTTCACTGTTGGAAAATGCTTTGTGCACAATATCCCACAATACTTAATAGTGCAGGGCAGCTTCAACATGCAAAATGTGCAAATGCACATTAAAACCCCATGGATTTCTGTGTTATGGATAATTTATCTGTCCTTAAACATTTATAATTCTTAATCATCATCAGTCCTTGAACAAATAGTGAATGCCAATATCCTTGATTCTTTCACTGCTGTAGTATAAATGGTTTTAAGTAAAATCCATAGCTAGTAGGAGGCTATCACTGTGGGGGTGCAAGTAGTTAAAAGAAAAGAAACTTGGTGAAAAAAGGGACCAAGAACATTTTCAGCGTATTCCTGTTGCCTATAGAGTGCATCCTATTATGTACTGCTCATGGTAAACTTTTAGACTTACTGGCATTAGATGGGTCTGTCAGCAGCACTGTTAATTCCATTTTAAAAGTGATTTTATCCCTTAAAAATTTCTTCTCAAGTTCTCTTTACAAACAGGCAAAAACTAAATGCAACCAGAAAAAAGAGATCAGCTGAGTATTTATATTCCACTTTTTTCCTTGCAAGATACTCAAGATAACTTACATAATTCTTCTCGCAATCTCATTCTCATAGCAGCCCTGTGAGGTAGGTTGGGCTGAGAATCTTTGATTAGTACAAAGCCACCTATATATATGTATGAGCATAAATGGCAGGTAAAAGTTGTATAAAGATAATAGCAGCAAGGTTTAAGAATTCATGTAAATTAGGTACATTGAGTTTTTCATATGCATTGGGAAAATGAGAGGTGTCTAGCAAACTTCCATGGAGGGAACATTGGTCAGCTATGGCATTGCAACCAAAATCTGCTTCCTCAGTGCCTCAGCTGGCCATATCACCTTTAAAGCACTGCAAGCACATGTAAGATCTGTTGGACAAGAGAACATAGTAGGACAGAAAAACATAAGGCAAACAGATGTGAAGAGAGAGGATCCTTCAGGTATTCCTGTGTGGACTGTCCTTGGCTTGAACCATAAACATCTGCATTTTGAATTGTGTGCAGATACAGACCAGGATCTAGAGCAGCACTTGTTTATTAGGGAGTTTTGACTGATCTTCATTGGCAGCTTTATTTTTGGCTAACTGCAGTTTCTAGATGAATCTCAGCGGTAGTCCCATGTACAAAAAAGAGTGTAATGCATTTGCTGTATCTTAGTCTTGAGGATATCCCTGCCCAGGAGCAGCTGTCATTAACATGCCAGCTTCAGCTGGTCAAAGCACTTCATTTATACCACAGAGGTCAACTGAGTGTTCAGTGACAAGGGTTGGGTCAGTGAGCATTCCCAACCTGATTAATTGCCATGTACATTGTCTGAAAGTTTTCAAAAGAAAATGTCTCTAGCTGGATACAATGCATCTGTTTGTACAAATATATACATGATGTTGAAACATTTCCATATTCTTCTCAGAGTTCTGTTTAAGTACCTCGCTATGCCATGAAAAGATCAGGTTTTCATTCTGATGCTGTTCTCAATACTTGTAAAAATATTCTGGGCATTTGAAATGAAGACAGAATTCGGTTTTGAAATAATGTTTATATATTTGGAAATGGATTTTGGGCAGTATTTGATATATAATAGGCAATATTAATAGCTGTCAGAGAATCTTAGAGCTGTAGTTTTTGTATGTATATTTCTGGTACTAAAATGTAGTGATTTATTTAAGTGACGAGTACTTGCTGAATTAGGCCTAAATACTGTACTTGCAAGATGACATCTTGAATAATTAAGGATATTCAACAGTTACCAAGATTTTTATGCTAAAGCTAAACTACTAAGAGCATATAAGCAATTGTTTTAGCAATGCTTAACTTAGACAAATATATATATTACAAAATTCATATTACTCTGTAAATTTAAAACAGATATTTTTCTGGGGAAACTGTGTGATCTTTTAAAAAACACAGATTTTGCTGGCATAGTGTACTTTTAAGTCTACAACTCAAAGGTGCAGGACTTTTTTTCTGGCCAAACATGCATGGGATTGGACCCTCTTTATTCATTCATTTCATTCTATTCTGTCGCATAACCCAAAGTCCTCACAGAAGGTATAACTGAAAACATGCATTGATTTGGGCTTTGTAGCCCTGTACCTGTTTACTCAGAATTAAGTCCAATGGAGTTCACTGAAACTTATTTCCAGAGAAGTGAGAACAGGATTGCATCCTAAGTCTTTCTAATCAACTCAAGCAGAAATAATTTACTAAGGGAGTAATTGTGTGGCCCCTAGTTATAAGATGTTTTTGTGGCCGTAAGGTTTTTTTTTTTTTTTAAATGCCCAGAGCTGAGGTTGGAAACTATGCTTTGGCTTAGAACATGGATATTTAGAGTTCTGACCCCCTCCTCTGCCCCTACAGTTGGCACAGAAAGAACCATGGAAAGGGCACCTTTGAGAGGAATAGAATGGACCGTTTCAGGAATGTGCGAAGAACGTTGAGGAACATAAAAAAGTTTCCTGAGCTCACCCTGACCTCCTTTTCTTCTCTTCTCAAACTAGTTTCCCAAAAATGGCTATCTGGTGAAAATGCAAAGTGGGAGGAGCGGGGACCAGGTAAAGATTGTCTGTGCTACTCCCTAAAGCTGGGTACAGGATGAGCATGAGCCTCTGATTTTAGGTGGTTACATTGATTTCAAGAAGATTGTCCCTAAATACCCAAATGTATTGTCTAAGGGTTTATTTTGCTTAATGAAATGACTCCTATCTCATTCAATGCTGATGATGTTGTAAGCATGACTTTTTCTGAGGCTTTGAAGATGTGTATTACAACCCCCACCCCATCCTATTAGTGGTCTCTTTTCAGACAGCTTTTGCAAAGGTTTGAAGCACTGCAGACATGGGTTGGATGTGTTTGAGAAAGGAATGTAATAGGATAGAGAGGGGAGAAATGGTTGTATATCCAGCTCTGAATGCTTGCCTTTGAGACATTTTACATGGAGAGATTGCCCCCTTTTCCCAAAATATAGTATACAGTGGTACCTTGGCTCACGAACGCCTCAGTTCCTGACCAAATTGGGTCGCGAACAAAAATTTCATAAAAATTTTGACTCAGGTTGCAAACTCCGCATTGGGTGGCGACCACGATCGTGGCCATCTCCCTACCCCACTCCTCCGAGTGGGGAGATGGCCACAATCATGCCGGGGTGGGGAGGGAAGATAGCCAAGATCACACCTGTCTTTCCTGCAGGAGCACAACTGCGATCTCCACCCCCAGCACGACACCCATCTCTCTCCCCAGTGCGCCCATATGCATGCCCGTCTCTCTCCCCCCGCCCAGCACGCTGGCATATGGGTGCATGCAGGGATGACAGGTGCAATTGTGGTCATGCTGGAGGAGTAGGGAGATGGCTACACTCAGGCTCGGGGAGGGGGGAGAGCTGGCCGTGATCTTTGTTGTTCTTTGTCACTTTGCTTTACATTTTTCTGATCAAAAAAAATAGTTACAGAATGGATTAACCTTATTCACACTAAACCTTGTGGGGAAATTTAACTTGGCTCACAACCAATTTGGATCACAACCAAAGTCCTGGAACGGATTAAGTTTGTGATCCAAGGTACAACTGTACTGAACTTGAAGAGGAGAGCAGGTGGGAATTCTTTGCCAATGTTAATGAGCTCTGAGATTAGCCAGGCAGCTGGTGCCTTTGGTTCAGGAGTAGCACAGGGAGGGTCCCAGAAGGAAGGGTATATCAGCCCAGTGGTTTGTTGTTAAGTCAAGGAGCAGTCCAGTTAAGTAATGTCTGGCATTCCCACTATCTGGACAAGTAGTGAGAACCTTCATGAGGGTGGAGTCAGCTTAGTTTGGAAAGAAAGCGAGGAAGGGAATTCAGTTTGAAATTAACTTACAGCACTGAGCAAGAACTAACTCAGCAATTAGAGGGATCATTAACTTGATGGATGTTTCTTGCTAATGATTTCCCTATAACTTGCTGT